GGGAGGCTCCTGCCTTCCTTAGCAGGCACCTGTTTTTCCAAGCCAAGCCAGCAGCTGTTATTCAGCAGAGCTCAATCATGCCAGCACCTGAAGCAAGCAGCTCACCTGGTTCCTGAAGATCAGGGCCACCACTCCACCTGTCAGCTCAATCAGCAGGCAGATTCCAAGGATGTACATGAACTGCAGGAAAACAAGTGCAAGTGAGTCATTAGCCACAACTCCAATTACTCTTGCAATTAGTTCCTTTGAGTCTAGCATTCTATTGCCAACAGACTTGGCTTTCAGCATGGCATTTTAAAGGAAAACACAAAATTATGGGTTTGCTCTTATGAAATTGTCAATGTCAGGAGAAAGCCTTTTTTCCTCACTTAAATTATTCTGGGCTTTGCCCAATTGGCAAGCACATTATTTTTCTGCTCTGAATGGACTCAAAAAACCATTAGATGAAATTATCCTGCCAAAATTCTCCTTTCCACAGCAGCATCCCAGAGAAGCACATTGATGGGCTGCTGCAAACCCCACCACACTTCATGTTGTTATGTTTGCTTCCTACAAAACCAGTACTCACCTGTTAGCTTTCAATTAGTGGATAAAGCAGCAGCACACCTTAAGATAATCCAAACCACCTTCTTCTACACTGCCAGTGCTAAATCAAAGCAAAATTCCAGGCTTAGTAGCTTTTAATGTGTTGCTTCCCACATTTATTTGCCTGTGTATATACACGTGCTCACAAGTGCACTCACACACAACCACGTGTGCATCCATGACTGCCCATCAAAGCATGTGCAAAATGTGAAAAATATTTAAAAAACCACATTGCACTGTGAGAGAGCTGCTGCATGCCAGTATTTGAAATGCTTTTCCAACCCTTCAGGCATAAAAGACAGGTGTTGAGTGAATTTAAGTCTGCTGTGTACCAATGAGCTGCATCAGGAGTGAAGTTTTCAGATCCCTTGTCTGAAAATAATCCCTCATGCTCTCCCCTGAAAGCTGCTTTGGCTCCTGTGTGCTCAGGGTCAGGAATTCACCAGACAGGTGTCTTTTCTCCTGCTAAATCTGGAATCTGCCTGGGAAGCTGGCATCAGGGCCTGCTTTGTTCAGTGCCCAGCTGGGTTTGCCTCCAGGATGGGAACAGAAAATGTTCCTGGCATCCAACACACCACCATGCTCAGTGGGGAAGAAGCCTGAGGAGGGGCTCTCAGTAAAATTCCAGCATAGCTTCAAAATCCATGGTTATTTCTGGCCTTGCCCTCTATAACAAACCAGGAATTCAGCATTTTGTTACTGATGTGACAAGGCCAGGCTGGGTTGGGTTTGCAGCAGCCTGGTCTGGTGGAAGGTGACCAGGTGGCCTTTAAAAGGTCCCTTCCAGCCCAAACCCTGTGTGATTCTGTGCAGGTGGAAATGAAGTTTTCACACCTTAATTTTAATTACTCACACATGCAGCTTCCATCTGCAACCACAGGAATTTCCCTAAAATCCACCTTTCCAGAGGCACTGGGGAGAAAAACCCTGTCCCTTTCATTTCACCCTCTGAAAGCTGCAGGTCCCACTCTGAACACACATTTCTGCATCTCCCCTCTGCACTGCACTGCACTGCCCAGGGAGGACAGACAGACTCTGGCCACTGAGGCAGGGCTTTTTCCCTTGAGCTGCTTCCTGACACCCAGCATCAACAGGCACGTCAGCAGCTGAGTTTGCACAAGTGACTGATAATATCTCACATTCCTGCTCGTTTTCCATAACACCTGAACTGAGATTCAATTAAAACTTTTGAACAAGAAACCTCATTAAAATATTTTTCAGTGCAGGCATAGTTCTGGGTGTGAATTCAGAGGACAGTGGAAAGCAAAAGCAACAAGCCTCAGAAACTAGGAATAAAAATTCCTTATCCAATTCCAATTCCACTTACTGCTTGCAGAAGGCATAAATTGTCTCTCAGGGAAGCCAGTACACCCACAAAGGACACCAGGAACATTACAATGCCCAGAAGTATTAAAATAATTGCTGGGGCTAGAAAGGCACTTTCTAGAGTTTTGTACTTCTGTCTTTCAATTTCTGCATAAATCCCAATGGCAAGGACGAGGGCTCCGATCACCTGGAAGAGAAACAGATTGTTTAACATCAATAACATGTTGTTTTTTCTGCCAGTAAACACAGAGATGACAGGCTGTGAGTACACAGGAACCTGCCACTGCTCACTTCAGGATTCATTATAAACAATGAAACATCCAAAGCAGAAGTTTGGATTTAAAAAAAAAATTAAAAACCCTCAAAGACTAAAGAAGAAAAAGAGCTGAGTTGGAAAAAAAAAATGAAAGTTGTTCACTTCAAAAATATATTTCATCATGTTTTAACATTCTGGTAGTTAAACTAATCAAAATATACATCACTGGCTGAAATGTAATTTATTACCCATCTGAGATCACATATATGAGCAACTGCCATGGCATTAATGACCCTCCTCTGCGTGTCTGTCTGTCCTTCTCTCTGTGTATAAATACACAGAAATACTTATGTGCTTCTAACATAACAAGTTTCCAGGCTGGTCTGCAAACAGCCTGTCTGTCCCTTCATATTAAATTCCTAGCTGTATTTGGGCTCAGTAAATACAGTCAGATATTTCCCAGCAGGAGAAAGGCACCAGATTAAAAACTAAAAAAAAAAAAAACCGAAAAACAAACAGCCAAGTTTGAAATTATATCACTTCCCTGAGCAATTACCTGATAAAGCTGACAGGTGAAATAGGAAGGGACAAATTTCATTTAACAAGGTAAAGACATTTCAATCAAAATAATCAGATAAGACTAAAACATTTGGTAATAGGAAGGGACATATTTCATTTAACAAGGTAAAGATATTTCAGTCAAAATAATTACTTAAGTCTAAATCATTTGGTATTAAAACTGCAGCGTGCTGCAAATCACTTTGAATTATGCTGAATTAATTAAAATTAAAAATATCCCACAATAGTTAATTATAAAAATTGCAGCGGAAAAACTTTGCTGCTGGCTCCAGCAGCCAGACACATCATCAGGGAAGAGACCAGACACAAATCAATCACTGTGGCAATGTGATAAACAACACTCCCCTTTCCTGAGCTGACATTGCCACAGGAAACACGAGTCTGCTCTCTGCACAACAAGGCTTCTTAATTATACCTCTTAATTTTTAATTTCACTTCTTCATTTTGGATGTGACACAGGACATCCCACACAAAGGGCCAGAGGGACTCACAGTGTGAGTTACCAGCTCATCAGCCAAACAGTTGAAATACTTTTGTAATTATGGGATAGCTTAAAATAAATAGCAACTTCCTGGAAGTTCTTGATTTTCTGTGGAAATGAATAATGACACCAAAGGACAATATGTAGGAAATGCCCCCAGTTTGTCATTAAAAGGGAGAAAATTCTCAGAAGGGTTCACCAATAAAAAGGAAATATACTGAAGCTATTTAAAAAGCAACTTAAAATTTGAGCAAATTGAGAGCAACCCCAAAACCAGATTCTCCTGCAAACACTGAAGTGCCATTACCAGCAGTAACTCTTGCCTGGTAGAGCCCTTGTTGCAAAAGTAAAAAAAAGAAACACTGGATGGAAACCACAGGTATCAAAGCTTGATGGGGATTATCAGAATTTCAACAAGAATGTTGTTTCAAGATTGGAACTTTTTACTGAAATGTCTTTTTCTGAACCACAGTTTTCCCATCAAAGCATTAAATTTCAGGGGGATTTTGACTAAAAGGTCCCTGGGAGTAAAATACAAGATACTTCCTACTTTAAGAACTTAAGATACATAAATACATAGAGCATCTTTATATAGACATATCCTCATCCATTTTCACTTCCATCTGTGCTCCCACACCCTCTTAAATGAAAGATTTATGCTTCCATTATCTTCTATTTTCTCAAGCATTTAATAAAATTATTTTTAAGCTTTAACACGGTCAAACTAAGAGCAACATTCAGTGGTGGCAAGGAGCTGTGCAAACCCAGCAGATCCATCCCATCCTGGGCCCTGACTCACACCGAGTGAGCATCCTCCAGCAAGCACCAGGGGATTTCTCTCTGGGGCTTCTGCACACACAGGAGCTGCTTTCCCAAGAGAAAGGAGAAGAATTCATTTATTAGCAGAAGCTTTAACCCTGTGTTTGCAGTTCTTCCTCTTAAATAAAGCTCAGCTTCTGTTTAAAATGC